ACCTAATTTATCCGATTTCAATTTACTTTAGAAATTTTAACGACTGTGCTTTTCTACAGGATCCATTATACTTGAAAAATTAATCAGTCTATTATTACTTGATTGTAATCAGTTTATTATGAAAACACATCTAACTAACATTACATTCAGGCCCTAATTAACAGTACCTTTTCTTCTTCACAACCAAATTAATTATGACTAATTGAAGTTAGATTAAGGTTGTGTTCACATGAAGGGAATTAACTAATGATATTCCTACAGTAGTTCAACGACTATCTAGAAGCCAAAATTATCATTATTTTCTATGATTATTACATGAAAAGTACTAAACTGAAAACGAATTGTAAACTTATTTAGAACTAATTATAAAATTTCAAAAATTTCCACAAAGTTTGCAAATAAAGTTTCTGCAGGTAAAATTGCTATTGTAAACAATCATTATCAAATGCGTATACTACACTAAAAATGCTTGCTATTTAACTGCACTTCTACGCTTCATGATCCAATTCACGATCCCGCCAATTATAGTAGGGCCAAAGATTTTTACAAATTGGGTTAAATCTATCTTTATAGTAAAGAACAAACTCCTGATTTCTTCATATAAAGATACGACCAATAATTGCTTGATAGCATAAAAAATAATTCCTACTAAAAAGGTAATGCCAAAGATGATAATAACATATCCAAGTTTCTACGAAGAGGAGTTGATATTTACGTTGGTAGTGCAATTTGAAATATGCTGAGTCGCAGTTATATCTTGACTAGGAGTTGAGTTTTGAGGCTCGGAAATATTAGTAACTTGATTGGAAATTATCTGGTTATTGTTAATTTGAGAAACGGATACACTTGTGGTTTGATTAGAAAAATTGCTTCTCATGCAAGAGTCACAAATATTGATTTGATGGTTGCTCGATGATTCAGTGATGTGATTAGAAAAATTGCTCTTCATGCAAGAATCACAAATATTGATTTGATGTTTGCTCGATGATTGTTAAGGAGAGATAGTATCATTGTTCTGGGGAACCGAAGGCTGACGTGCATTTTGATCATTGTTCTGGGGAACCGAAAGCAAAGGTGTATTTTGAGAATTGGCAATAGTATCATTGTTCTGGGGAATCGAAGATTGACATGTATTGGTAAAAATAGAAGGAATATTTGATATATTTTGAATCATCGTAATCAGTAGTTGATTTTGGGAAAGAAGCTGCTGTAGGAATTCATTTTGTAAGTTGTTTTGATGAACAATTTGTCGTGAGTTTTGATTATTGGATTGCATAGGTTGTTCATGTTGAGGAATCATATGGTGAACAATTTGTCGGGAGTTTTGATTATTTAAATTGGATTGCATAGGCTGGAAATGTAAGGAATTAGCATCCTGATCATCAATTTCCTCTATTTGAGGATATCTTCTTTCCACTGATAAATGTAGATCGTAATCATTTTGATCCCTCGGGTAGCGTTCAGTTATTTTTTTATTTTGAGCTTCGGTTAGTTGTACTCCATATCTAATACAGTAATCTATACATGGACGGCAAAGACAGCCTTCAATGTAGAAATGCCACCAATTGTTGGGTTGAGACATAATTAATTGATTTTACGATGATTGAAGTCTTTATGTTAAGGAAAAATCCTGAATATATATGAGTTTTCTGATTTCAAAAGTGCTTTTTTCTTAAATCTCAAAATTATGTGTTTCAATAAAAAAAAAACTTAATTTCGATACTGTCGCGTGAAATTTTACTTCATTAAGGTATTGCACAAGCCTAAATGGGCGAACTGCATAAGGGGTCAGTCAATAGATTTGACGGAATCTTCATGTAAGATAAACTTTAAGGCTTCAGAACACGTGTTTCAGTAAAAATATCACGTTAAGGTATTGCACAAACCTCAATGGGCAAACTGCATAAGGAGTCAGTCAATAGATTTGACAGAATCGTCATGTAAGATAAACTTTATGGCTTCAGAATCACGTGTTTCAGTAAAAATTTCACTATTATAAAGTGTCTAATCACAATCATTTATAATTAAGTCTGATATGGCTTTATATCGCGTGGCTTTTTTTGTACTTTAGATTTATATTTACCTAATAAACTTTTTTGTCGTGGAAAATCGCGTGAAATTCTATTTGTTTTGCGTGATGCTCTAAAAAAAGATCGAAAATTCGAACTGTCCATAGAGGTCATGGCAATTGACTAAGAGATTATCTTTTTTTGAATTATACAATATCGATATCAAATGAATTTTGTATATCGATATGAAAACTTACAAAATATATGTATTTAAGCCAAATTTGGCACCAATATAAAAACTACTCTAATTTTAAGTTCAATTTCGGTTTATGTAATAGAAATTATATGATTTTCATCGATATTTAATAGTTATAAAACCGATTATATGCATTACTTATGCATTACTATATAAAAATATACTTAAATTAAAATGTTCTGTAAGATGTAATTGTTTATTTTTTTATTAATAACCTATAATAAACAATCACTTGCATAAATTGAAAGAATTCCGGTCTACTCAACTATAATCAAACCTCCTGGTATTGATATAAAATATAGTATAAATAATATATGGGCATTACCAGCTAAATAATAATCTTCTAGCCGAAGATCTAATTTAAGCCATTCCCATGACCTTTAGATCTTTTCATGATTGGTTAATCATATTAAACTGGCCAGTTTCTATATAATACTTACTTTTTTATACTACTGTAGTACCAAAGAACATTATACTTTTAAGATTGGGTCTGAACAATCACGAGACGCGTAATTGACCAATAGTCAACAAATTTTACAATGTTACATACTGTATATTATTAATGTAGCTAGTAGTATTTTTACATTAAAATACCGGGTTTATAAACCAATATTATCGATAAAATAAATTTATGAAAATCATGCAATTTCTACGTATAATTCATACTGTACGTGAATTACTTTAAAACTGAATTAGAATAGTAGTTTTTATATTAGAGTTAACATTATTGCCAAATTTGGCTTAAATGCATAAAGGATGATATTTTTTATACAGTCAGAATTACGATAGCAACCGGTTCATATTATACAAAAATTCACTTGATTTCGAAATTGTATAATTCAAGAGATAATCTCTTAGTCAATTGC